CTGAGGTTGTTTCCCCATTCCTCTGAAAACTGCTCACGTCATTCCACTTACCCATTTGCGGGGATCCCTTTACCCATTCAGTAACCATCTCATTTCTCATGTGGCCATCGTCGATGAAGCATTTCATCCCGCGCGATTTTCTATTCGGAAGTCTACTTTGAGAGAACCAGAGCGATCGTTGATAGTGGCTTCCACCCCCTCGTGTCGACTCTTGACTCTCTCGTTGCAGTTTCTTTTGAATAGTTGGAATCCCTTTTCTCTGACGATAAGACCTTTCTCCTGTCTGCTCACATCTCCGACAGAGTGTTACAGGGAGCTCAATCTCAAGCTTCAGGTGATTCGTAAATTAAATATCAATGACATCACTTTCACACTTGAGAAGATGCGCCTGCTCGCAGATTCCCCTTTGAACATACACTTTCCATCCTTGCGACTCCGTGAAGTCGCTTCGGAACATTTTGAATCATGAATTTGCTCTGGATGCTTAAATTCATAACATGGAAAAGTCCGCTGCCCGTTCGTATACTCTTATCATAAGGCTTTCTCCTTTTCCCTGCAATCACCTACCCACACAAAAAAAAATACTGTCGGCCTCGTAATGGAGCATGCTTCTCTTCATGGGAGGGGGAGAGGAAACGCGATCTATCCCTCTTCCTCAGCTCGCTTTCCCTGATGCTTAGCGTCAATAGTCCGGCTAAATTTCGGCATCTATTCTCTCCACCTCCGCCGAGTCTGAGCTCTTTTACTTCCATTATCTTCTTTTCCCCCAGCGACGAACTTTCCATTCTTTGAGGGCCTTCTCACACAAGACATAATCGTCGGTTTCTGCGGATCCTTTCTTACTCGACTTGGGCGATCCGAAATAGAAATCCATGGAGCAAGTGCTGTTGCCATGTGGAAGATGGGCCCTTATGGAACTCACTCTGGGATGTTGTCACCTTTCTTTTGAAATCCCGAAGTCGCAAAAGAAACACCTTTCTCTCGTTCTCAGGGCAGCAGCATTATCGAACACTGACGCCGTTTTTAATGACGAAAAAGTGCGACTACGGGGTCTTGCTTGGAGCTGTCATCGCACAACCTGCTCTCTGCGATTGGAATTGGGTCTTAATTTCGACGAATGATGATCCAGGGGATTCAGACACTTCTGTTCCCCGAACGCATACGAGTTAAGAAATTAGCATGGCAACTTACGCCTTACATCGCATCCATGTAATGGTGAATGCAGTCGCGAAACCCTGTGACCTCGATGCTGAAAGCCGAAAGGGTCTCGTCATTATTACCATTCTCCTTTCGAGTCAACTTGAAGTCCTATCTCTTCCGTCTCAGCATTTCAAAGTTTAAAAAGCATGCATAGAAAAGCATGAGCGTGGGACGTGCTCAAGAGCGTTTTCAAAGCCTCCCTTCAGTGCAAAGCACAAAAAAGTGAGGGGGAAGGGCTTCCACGATGAAAGATGCACATGCGATTGGGCTTCTCTCTCTCTCTCTCTCTGATAAGACCCATTACCTGATTGAACATCCTGACGCAGCAAAGATCATCCCCTTTACAGAAAACACTGCAGTTTACATCGTGTGAACGAAGTGGGAAGAAAAAAAAAGGAAAAGGAGTCTGGAACCGGCATCACGTCCAGGCGCGAGGGAAATAAAGCCCAATTTTCGGTCGGGGCTTAATGGGCATTATCCGGGATGGGCGGGAGATCGTCGCTCATCCCAAGTTGGAAATAATTCGATAAGGTCAGCTTCCTCCTCCTTCGTGGCCTGAGAGACTGAATGAAGTCATGTCGGTAATTTCCCCGAAGCCCTCTTTCTTAGCCCTTCTTATATCCTTATCCCCATAGGGTCAGTGATCAATTGGGCTTCTTCCCTACCCTATGCCGCGGATCATCCCTCATTTGTTAACTCTGGGTCTTTTATAGAGCTGGGATAATTGTCAGAGGAGCGGGTGAATAATTGAGGGTGATGGATCTGCCACGGCTTCGCGTGCCGGATTCCTCACCGGACTCCTTACCGGACTCCTCAACATTCAATCCAGAGACTCTTCAACGGCGTAATGGGTACCTGTCAGACGGGACCCGAACAAGCCCGGTCGATAAACGTCTTTATCTCTGAATATCCTGGGCTTTAATGTTTCATCTGGGACCCGTCGATTCGAGTCGCGAAGGGGAAAAAAAGAATCTTTTTGATCAGATGCGTGGCACGTGGAAAAAGACGCCAAGACCGATTCTCCGGCCATAGAGGAACTTCCTTTCCCCCCTTAATGGATATGGAGAGGATCTCATCTGCTTGAAGAGTGAGGAGGAAATCACAGTCCTCTGATGGAAGACCACCCCTCGTGGAATATCCCCTCTCCCATCCTTCACTTTCGATGCATATTAACCCCCCCCCCCCCCCCCCCCCCCCCCCCCATGCATTTTTTTTTGCTCTCCTCCGAGTCTCGTGGGGACGCCCAGACAGCCTCATTCTGACGTTCATCATCGAGCAGACAGCGAAGGGCTTGATTGGTGTTCATTATGGACCTCGCAGTCTTATTTTTTTTCGTCGTTAATCCGAACGTTAATCTGAACAATCCTTCCCGGTGGCAACATGGATTCGATGCCTTAAATTGTAAATGCTAATCACTCGTCACCCTTCCATCGCCGGGGGTTCCGAAGAAGTTCGAGAGCAAACACCAATGAATCAGAAATGCAATTAAGAGCTGTTCATTAAGGCCATTAAGTCTCGCGAGGGGCGAGGGGAGCGGGGGCGTTGATCATTCAAACAAAGCCTGTCCTCATTGACCCACACAATGTGGTTCGATTGAACAGGAAAAAGAGCCATCAATGTGCCAACAGCAGCATTCAATCGGGCACTACATTGGCGTACACTTTTCATGCAGACTGGGGAGAGGAGCAGACATATACGGACATGTCGAGGTAATATGCATCGAAAGTGAAGGATGGGAGAGGGGATATTCCACGAGGGGTGGTCTTCCATCAGAGGACTGTGATTTCCTCCTCACTCTTCAAGCAGATGAGATCCTCTCCATATCCATTAAGGGGGGAAAGGAAGTTCCTCTATGGCCGGAGAATCGGTCTTGGCGTCTTTTTCCACGTGCCACGCATCTGATCAAAAAGATTCTTTTTTTCCCCTTCGCGACTCTGACAGGTACCCATTACGCCGTTGAAGAGTCGCGAAGGGGGGTGGTGGGGGGAGGGGAAGAGAGAGGCAATAATGCCTTTCGACGGGGCGGAAAGCCTACTGTATATACAGCTGCTTGGCAGACGAGACCAATGACCACCGATTCCCAAGGACAGCCGAGGGAAACCCCTCACTTCATCCCATATACCTCGGGCTTCGTACATTTTCCTCATTAGGAAAAGCTGCGAAGTTTCAGCTTTTTTTGATGTTTTATTCAGATTACTGCGACGACGAAGAAAGATTGGAAGAGGACTTGAACAGTTGCAGCTGTGGGTTGATAATGGACGGATGTTATCAGGGACATCTGGCAGGTGTTTTCCTCGCGTGTCCACTCTCCCCGATAAGGAAACATGGGAACCTACTTTGTCCTCCGCACAACTGACATTTACTCCCTGCATTTAGGTTCTCCGCTGTAACCCTGATTGACCCCATGCATGTCATACATTCTGGAGGCCCCGATTTCATCGTTCCGTCCCCTCCGGATATAGCCATGGAGAGGAAGCTTTCCATTAGACCTGACTATCCGAGATTGACCCTCGATTTACCGTCGAGGTTTCCTGGGCCGGTGTGCTCCGATATCTAAGAACACCGTGCAGATGTGAGGAAATGTGTGAGGAGATGCATCGGGGACAGGAGTAGGGCCCCGTTGGCATCTATTATGCATGTCGCTAATGGGGTCCGATCCTGGGCTGGATGTTTAATCAGCATGCCAACCTTCTCCCTTTTTTTTATTTTCCTCCTTTTCTCATCCGCTTTAGGGAACGTGTTTCCACCTCAGGACTTGCCTGCTCCGCACCTGTATTCATGAGCAAGATAAAAGAATATTCGTAATGCAATTCCCGTTGTTAGAGAGGACTCGACCGCCTTCTCCCACTCATCTCCCCCTTCCCAGAAAGTTTAAAGGTAAATGAAACATATTTTCACGTCGTCTCTTTCTTCCTGATGGGCTTCCACAGCACGGGAAACGCGTGTCGAGGCCAATCTTGACAGGGGACAGAGGTCTCGTACACCGTGTGGACGGGAGAAATCCATTAGTGCGTTTGTGAGATGAAAACAATCAAGCGATCGCATGCATATCACTCGATCGACTCACTGAAAAGGCCTCGAGAGAGAGAGAGAGAGAGAAAGCACGCCATTCCGTGTTTCAGTTCTCCTCGTGCTCCGAGCCGAATCATTGTTGGACGAGAGGCATCCATGGAAAGAGAGCTTGTAGAAACGGTAACGATAACGAGAGCCCGGTAACGGTATCAGAAATTGTTACAGGAAAGAAAGTGGCCTGGACTTCGCATCCAATATGCATTTGCCAGGCTATCAATGACGTCACCCTGTCTCGCAGATTCAAGAAGCCCTAATGAGCCCCGCACCTGCTCGACCCCAATCAAGAGTTCTGTCCCTGCCGAGCATCGCAACGAGAGGGATTTGCATGGGGCAGCCGACGCGATGACAAAGCCTTGAGTGCGATGCTTTCTTCCTGCGATCGCATTCGAGATGGATGGGTATGGAACTCTCTCGTGGAACCCTCATGGAACTCTCGATGCCGCCTTTGTGATCCGGGGGTCCTTTGCTCCTCTCGCTTTTTTTTTCGTGTTCTTTGGGGATTTCTTTTCGCATCTGGCGCAGAGGAATCGACTGAAAGGTCTGTCACATGGAAAGGTATACGAATGCAAAATGCATGATGATCTTTCTCGGAAGAAAACTAGGAGGACGGGATGAGAGAGACATGAGAAAAAGAGAGACATTTCATTTTCCCACTTGAGGAAAGTTGGAAAAGGATTGCGTCTTCGAGAGACTTGCATAATTCAACCCGGGAAGAAGTCCAAGTAGAAACGGAATCCAGGTCGTAATTGGGTAATGGGCTCTTGACTGATGCATGAGGGTTGAAAATGTTTTTCTCATGAATATTGGAGCTTCCTCATCACGGGACCAACAACACGTGTCTCCTCGTCTCCATTGTCCACAGCTCGGTTTATTATGCATCTGATTGCTCCAATTTCATCACCCCTAATGGCTTTCTCTTGCCCATGACCACCGCATAACGACTGATAAGAACTCGCCTCGGTAATACGCGGAATGCAGGCGGCTTTTCAAATGGCAGCAGTCGATTCGCCGGACAGGGTGTAATTCTTATGGTGAGTCCAGTGGAACTGTCGATAGTCTTCCCGTCGGTCCAGCTATTCTACACTGTTCCTCGTAGGAAAAAAAAAGGAGATTGTCAGAGGGAGAAGAGGAGAAGGAGGAAGGCCAGGTGACTCCAGCCGGGTCTCCGATTCGCACCTGGAATGAAAGAATTTCAGCATTTTGGAGACGGTTTACCAGTCTCGGGGGAATTGGGGGGGTATTCATTTTGCAAGAGCTTCATGTTGGCAAACATGGGAATTAAGGAAGGAGCAGTGAGGCGAATGCATGAAAAACACGTGGGTGTGTACACGTCGTAGGAAATGTATGGAACGACTTGAGCATGCATTCGGAGCTTTGCAGCACTGGCTCATTTCGCCCTTGTGCAAAATTTAGACTGTCCCATCGAGCTTACTCCCTGTCTGAAACATGTAGTCAAGTTATACTAAGCGGCAAATACGTGAATCAAATCGGGACTCGCACGGAAAGGGATCGGAAGAGGGTATGAATGGAAAGGGGGACGACGGGTATTTGAGGCTAACGAGGTTCATAAGTAGTTCATAAGTAGTCTGCCTACACAGAGAGAAATGACACGATATAATGTTATTTGACGCACGTATATGTGTCATGAGAGAATTTCTTCATATCGGTTGTGACAAAATGTGTCACAAGGGTTGACACATTTCAACGCGTCTACAGATGCAGTAAGATGTGTCAAATGACACACTGGAGGAGAGAATATCCAAGCGGACTCGCCCAATTGTGTCCCATGACACACTACAGTGTGGGTCCATTGACACGTCTGGATTATGGCCTGGCGACACGGAATAACGGATCATGAGGCTGGGCACATTTAAATGTGCCTACTGATGTAGTAAGATGTGCCAAAAGACGTTTCACTACGTCAAAACTCATGACACATTATTCCGTGTCGCCCAGAAGATCAAGGACCCACTTCTGTGCGTCATTTGACACACTGATTTTTTTCTGTGTATAGAGGTTGAGACTATACATACTATACATATGTATAGTGACTGAGAACGGAAGCAATCATTTCGTTTAATATGAACCGTGAGCGGAAATACGATGCATTGTTTTATGATTGAACTGATTGGAATTGGAAAATGTTCGGCTCTTTGTTGACATAGAAGGTTTTCCAATACCAACACGACCGTGCACGTGTTCTTGCTTTACTTTCCTCTCGTGGCTCTGCCTTTCTCTTCTACGAACCTAGGATGCGGAGTTAGTTTAGGGGTACCAAGAAAAGGTTCCAGAAAAAAAATAAGTGTAACGAAGACAGTTGCAAATTGTGGAATTCATGAGATATTAGCTTTTCAATCCGACGTTCACGCTGTTCTGGAACCTAGAGAGCTTCATTATCTCTCCACTCGATACCAACGTATATCAATTGGCTTAACGCACGAATTTCCATATCTCGTCCCCTTTCCCCCACCCCTCCCCTCCCCCATCCCTCCCCCATCTCTCCCCTCCATTGAGAAATGCAAAGCTTCGGTCGGGCGTGATGAGCATCGGCCATCACGAAACCCCGTGCACTCGGGATCGGGGAGTATAGACCAAACTCTCCTGGAAGAGACGAAATTCGACGAGGGAGGCGACAGGTCCTTGTCGCTCCTCGGCCCAACCGCCCTATTCGGGGAAGTGCCTGAGAATGGCCCTACTCTAGCTCCGCACTTTTCTTCACGCGAGAGCCAGGGGACGATCGGAAGGGAATTTACGGCGCGATCCCCAGGGTGACATCCACCTGCTGGGCCTTCTTCCACGTGTCTATTGCCATCAAAAGTTTCTCTGTTTTCCGTCTCTCGGCCCCTTTCTGTTCTCGGGCACAATAACAAAACCGGGCACGGATATTTGTTATTTCGGAAGCCCTTCCTGCTGAAGAGATCGGTGCTATGACTCATCTAATAAGGCTCTGGGGATGTGGGACTTTGACATTTGGTCGACTGAGGTGATAATGAGAAGCAGGGGATTTCCGGAGTCTCTCTCTCTATTGAATATAGAGAAGAGAGAAGAGAGATTACGGGAAAAAAAGACTCCCCGCCAATTATGAGAGGTTGAGTGGTTTCTGATGACATGGGGATTTTCCCCTCTTCGTGCCACTGTCACTCTTCTCGTGGGAAGTTTCTTTCATATTCCTTCCCTCCCTTTTAATTTTCCACTACTATGCACGGACAAAAAACACCCATGCCGTCATTACCGACTCTCTTTTCGAGCCTCGGGCGAGCTGGGAAGGAAACTTTGTTCACGCAGGGAGGTACTCACGAGAATAGTTGAGGGCGCCAACCCCGTCCTGGAAACTCGTGCCCGTGAACGTGGCCGGCTCCGGAGCATCTCTCACCACGATGCCCAGCTCCTCGCTCTTCCAGAACTCGGCCGCGACATCTGCAGTGCATTTGAGGCGGAGGATGGGACGGGCCCGGCTTTTATAGGCGGGGAAGTTGAGGAGCAGGACCGACGTTTCCAGGCCGGAGTCCTCCGTCTTTGGGTAGTGCTCGACCAAGTCTGTCATGTGCGCCTGCAAGAAGAATTGGCCTCATAGGAGAGGGAGGTCACTGTCATATTGCCACTCGGAGAAGTGGCCATCGTATTTGTGAGGACAATATTGCTTTACGCTATGACTCCTTACAAGAACGATGTCGTTGAAACCAGATTGCTCAGTGAGGTTATGACGAGAAAAGAGCAATGAATCTTGTTCTCTCGTATACTACGTGTAAACCTTCAGCTGCTGGAGTGCAGGTAAATCCTAACATAAGTAGAGTTCTCATATATATGTTTTGACATACCGCTACTTCCTCGATGTACCACATGAGAGATGCAGCCGGCTTGGAATGGAAGCAGGAACAGTTGATGGTGATATTTTCTCCGACTTCATACTCCGGCTTCCAACCCGATACGATCGGACATCTTCGGGGGATGGCTGGAAAAGAATCGCGGATGGAAGAGGTTCGGCTGATGGTGATGAGACTCTGCTGTGAATGGGATTTGCGGTAGGCCTAATGAAGAGGGTTTTGAGGAAGGTAGGAGGTAACCCCTGTTCCATTGACGAGGTCTGCATTCCTGATTCATAGAGCAGGTGTATAATGGAAAACGCCTGTGAACGGGCCATTAGCTAACAAATGGGCTCAGAAAAGTGATTGATATCACAGGCAAGACGTGCTTCCTAATGACGCTCTCTATCCCTCCTATAGTGAGGCACCACTTCTCTAGCTATCGTTCCCAATATTTCTGCTATCCCATAAAAATCAAATAGGCCGATTCATAAGTAAGTAATCACGTGGGCCACTCCTATTTGCCTCGGTGGGTTCTATTTGCTCTGATGGGAAAGTTATGCCTCTTCCCTCGATCACGGTGCAGTTTCTTGGCTGCACACTTTATTCAGTTATGTGTGCTAGGATACCTAATGAATGATAAACGAGGGGACAGACTTCGAGATTAGATGAAGAGACTCACCAACAACCTGCATGGTGGCTTTGTTCATGGAAGTGCGAAAGGCCGGCGCCTCGCCGAGAACTTCGCAGTGATACGTGCCGCCCGAGTTCAGATCCACCGCCCTCAGCCTTATCCGCGTTCCATTCGATCCACCCAACTGCAAAGATCGCATTACGGAAACTCTTGAGAGCCGCAATCCGGATGGGAAGTCATCTCTGTCGCTTTCGATGAATGTGAAATTACTCGTCCCTTCCGCCAGCGCCGAAACGGTGAAGAAGGCATTGCCTGGGATTTCCGGTTCTACAATGCCTTAAACCCCCAAAACAATGTTCAAACGGAGTTCCGGTCTCGTCGAGGTCGCACAGATGCGAACTTGCATCTGTGTCACCTAAACCTAGACTTGATTCTGTGAGAGCAACAACGGCAGCCCTTTCTACGCTGAAATTTTTCAGAGCATCGATTTCATGCAGAAATGTCGCATAAAAATGTGTCCTTTTCCATTGCATAAAATTTTTCACACCTCATGGCTTCCTAACCCAGGGGTTAGGAAGGCTTCCTAACCCAGGGGTCGCGAACCGGCAACTATGTGCCAATTTATGTTTTTCTTTGCGATTTTAGTGCATAGCTGGGGGAGCCTGCTCGACCAGTGCTTGTGGTCCTGAATGGGATGATCGTGATTTTTGGGGTCGCGCGTGAAGAAGGTTGGGAAGCCCTGCTCTAACTGGTCCCAGCCTGAATCCCGATTGACAAGAGCCACAGCGAATGCCATGACAGAAAGAGGGGGGGGGGGGGAGGGGGGGGGGGGGGGGAACGGCTCGACAGAAAGAGGGGGGGGGGGGAGGGGGGGGGGGGGGGGGAGGGGGAAGAGGGGGCGAACGGCTCGTCACTTTCCTTGGGCGTTGTGATGCGACAGATGGAATGCTTCTAAATGCGACACTTGGGTTACTCTGACGAGCTTCATGGGTCTAGAAGTGACGGATATGCATAAAAATTCAGTTTTGGCACATTTCCCTTTGAAAATAATGCAGTTAACCCTCGATACACCGTCGCCGATGTTGGCACTATAACGCGGGTGGCGTTGTATCGAATGAATCGCAGCATCGTGATGGCTTCTTGATTCCGAATACCGGCAGGATGGAGAATTCACCGAAGGACAAATTGACTAAATTTATGTAAAGCTTATATTCCCATTCTTGACCCTCTCTCTACACTTTTCCTGTGCACATTTCATTCTCTGTGGGCCCTTGAAAAAGTTCCCCGACGCGAACTATGCCCAGAAGTTACGTTTCAGCATGATCCCCTTCGAAATCGTTCCCCTAAATTGCGAAACACTTTCTCCAACGTTTACAAAGAGCTTGGAACGCTGGCTTTAACCCATTCTTGAGAACCCCGTTAATGGCGTTTGTCACAGCTTGCAAACGTTTCTTTGTGAACGTTGGGAGAAGTGTTTCACAAGCTAAGGGAACGGGAACTGTTTCATAGGCTCACGTTATGTTACCTCTAACAGTCTCGCTATCTGTTACGCGATCAGATACAGTCGCTAACAATTGATGCATTTGGTTTTTCAGGCCATAGACGTTATATATACGATATATATCGGTTTTTCAAGTCAAATGTGAACATGTGAGCGTCAAATGCGACAGTGGAAATTCAAATGCGTTGCTGTGCTGGATGCTGAACTTTAGAGAAAAGCGTGTTAATTTCATTGACAATTGCGGTTAACCTCATTGACAACCACCGATGTTGGTTCTAGGAAATTGCCGCCGAAGGAAGAAAGTCATTCCGACGAGGAAGGAACGTTGTGGCGAACGTCCCCGGAAAAAATTGCTACTTTGCTTTCCCAATTTAAATGTGGACACGAGAAAGTCAAATTCGAGATTCAAATACAGTCGACTCTCGATGTAACGAACCTCTATATAACGAATTTTCTCAACGAGGGTCATTTCGAAAGTAATGCACAATTTACTCTTATTTCAATAATTAAATAATTATTTGGCGAAACGACTTTACTCCAGTATAATCATCATCCTGTCATATGATCGCCTCCCAACGCTCCGGTAAGTTTTGCACACCCGTCAGCAGGCCCTCGGTGTTGATGCAGCGGATAGCTCGGGTCACTCCAGTGGGAACCACCTCGATGCCTCGGAAACGTTTGCCGCGAAGTGGTTCCTTCAACTTAGGGGAAAGATCAAGGTCTGGAGGACTCATGTTCATGGGGAAGCTCCTCCCACCCCATGGTGTTCCAAAAGTTCAGCGGATTTTGGGCGGGAGGTGGCCCGAGGAGCTTCACCATCAGTCCTGACATGAGTCCGCCAGACTTCGATCTATTCCGAAAGTTGAACCACTTCGTGGCAAACGTTTCCGAAGCATCGAAGAGGCTTCCACTGGAGTGACCCAAGCTATCTCGTCGCATGAACACCGAGGGCCTGCTGACGGGGATTATATTGAAGGGCTGTTAAGTCGATTTGCGAAATACATTTTAAAAATTGAAATAAGAGTAAAATTGTGCATTACTTTTGAAATAACCCTCGTATTACGATTTTTTTTTTTTTAGTTCCCGGCCGTTCGCCCATTCAGACGCATGTCGAAAAGTTTCTCAATAACGAAGTTCTGTCTAGCGAATTGTTCGCTTTTACGAAATGATTTTTCCGTCCGAAAGAAGAAAACCGTTTCGTATTACGAAGTTCAAGTCCGCTGCACTTTCTTTCGAGAAAATCTCATCTTGTATTGAAATTTACCACGTCCCATGTTCTTCGAATAGCTCCGGCTATTTTTCTGTCAAAGGGCAGAATGTCGAGCCTGAAAATTTTCAAACAATTTCGGAATTTTTTTTCCCGACGAATGGACAGCGTTCGTGACTCGTCCGATTTTTATGGCACCTACGCGAGGACGCACTCCTGTGCACGCCCATTCACGTACATACAGGCATTTTCGAAGTCGTATTTTTGCAATACGACACGCACTTAGACTTTCGCATATTTTCATCTGCATCCTTTGACAATAAACTTTCGTTGAAGAGGCCTCTCTTATATTCCAGCGAAATGTGGGAAATTCCCTTTAACGAATTTTCTTCTGCGAATAAAATTTTGCGAGAATTTTCACCCCGTCCCTTCGAGTTCGTCATATCGAGCGTCGACTGCATAACAATTAGAACGTCAAATTCATTCAAGAGTCAATAAAGGAAGGGTGAACTGAGCCCCCTTTTCATCCTCCACAATTTGCACGAAGCAACTCCGGGAATTTCGATGCGAATTTCGATTTCATTCGATGCTTTCGCGACGGGGAAAGGTTTCGCTGTCCTTACTTTTTGCATCTTGAATCTCGGAAGTGCAGCATCCGTCAGGCCTGTCTCATTTCATTTCTCTCATGCAGCTTTGAATCCCGCGCTGCATTATTGAGCGTCGAAGTCCTGCAGTAGTCATCGATAGCTTTCAGACTTTATGATCCGACATCAAAGGTTGCCGACGAGATCGACTCCCAACAGTGACGTCATATCCAGATGCATCTGGATATGACGTCATCCGGCTTTCTTTCATCCTCTCCTGCCATCCAATCTTCCGGCCATTCTCATGACACGTGCGCGAATGTAAATCGAATTTTTTGGGGGACCGCGTCGTGGAACTGGACGGAAATGCAAACTTATTTTTGCATTTTCCGTATTTGACTGTAATTAGTAGCGTTCAGTGCTGGGTTGGGATTGCTGCGGAAATGCTACTTGGCGTAAAGTCGAGGATGATTTACGACTCACATTTGCATGAATAATGGCGTTGGCTTGCGAGGGGGGCGCTGCGACGGGGGTGGACTGCATTTCTCATTGCGAAAATCGATTCAACTGCTTGGTTTTCGGGCGAAAAAAAATTCTCGGTGTACTACAAGGCGAATTTTAATGTGGAGTTGTGGATGAAGTTACTCAAATCGGGGTTATTCGTGTGGTTCGATTGCCTTTCGAAGAAACTAATCGTCCCGTCCCGAGTTACCGGTTCAAAATTTGCTTAAAAATTTAGCAGGCAAATTTGCCTGCTAAATTCCCACTCACCAGCAGGGAAAGGGAAACAGCCTGCCTATCGAAAATCAGATGGCTCTGGCGGGCATAAAAAAAAAAATCCAGCTGTGTTTTCGGCGGAAGGGAGGGCGTGGCGAGGGTAATCTTGTCTGGCCGGTTAACGTTCCGGAAATTTTTTCAGGGCTGCTTTTAATAATAACATCAACTTCCTGTGCGCCTGTATGAAATGCCGAAAACTCCGCTTCCCTCGCATGTAAAAGCGGCTTTGGCTTCCACCCGACTCCATAAATGAACTGTTTATATATTTTGCACTGGCAACGCGTTCAGCGACCCCCCCCCCCCCTTCTCCCCAAAAAAAAAGTACAGTCGAACTCGGTTATAACGTCATTGAAGGGACCAGGGAAAAATCGTCGTTATGACCGAGGTTCGTTATAAACGAGGTTGCCTTTATTCACATTCCGTTCCCCCGTTTTCAAAATGCTATATAAATTAACAACTCCAATTTACATCGGTCATGCCCACTAGCTTCAGCTTCGGCTTCAGTTCGAGGCCTCGTCGACGTCATCGAGACAGATCTACGAAAGTTTCTTGTTTTTTTGTGACACGTTCTTCTCGTAAGCACGAATGAAGCTGTCAAATGAAAAAAAAAATGAATTTCAAATTTTCCCAAATTGTGGAAACAGATATCCATGTTCACGAGCGACGTTAGCTTGACTTCGCCCGCTTTCTTTTCAGTCTCTTCCGCTTTTCACTGGTCATTTTGTCAACGAGGAATGTAAATGGCGACTGAAGATAAGATGATCTTTTTAGCTAGTGGGGATTATCCCTCCCTCACCCACATGACTCGCAAGGAATGCCGATTCAAGGGATTAGGGACGCCAAGATTGTCGATTTCGTCAGTGGGATCTTCAATGGACTTCATTATAACCGAGATTCTTGCTATACCCGAGTTCACTATTACCGAGGTAAAATTGCTCGTGCCTTATGGGTTCTACGCCGGGACCTGGCACTTTTCGTCGTTATAACCGAGGTTTCGGTATAACCGAGTTCGGCGGTATAAATAAAAAATGAAAAATCCATTTGTAGTACTCACGTCGACGTGAATGCCAGGGACGGGAAAGACGTGCGTCTTGTGATTCCGGCTGGGCAGGTACCGAAAGAACTCCAATCCGTCCTTGTACCACTTGATGGAGTACAGGCCTTCCCCATGCAATTTAAATTCGCAGAACAAGTCCGCACTCTGATTGAGGTGAACCCGTTCCGGCAGTCGCACTCGCTCCACGTGGATGCTCCATGCACCTTTCGGACGGAAATCAGCATCTTCAACATTGAGACTCTTCTAAACGCATGCTATCTTCCAAATGAAACGTTCCAAGGTAATTTATGGCTCGTCCTTATAGAAGGATTTGTGATTGCATTGCATCTGCCCTTTGCTGAACAGATCGACACCGGCTCGACTTTATTAGCGCGTACTCAAGAACCTCTGAGCGCCGTGCACGCTGTGCCAAGGCTATGCCTAATTACGCTTTCTCCATGCCTTACGTAAAGCTCAGCTTTTCATAAGTAAGATAATGGGATGAGTTCACTGTGCATGTCATACCGTCTCCGAAAAACATCGGAAATACACCAAGGCTGACCCAGCAACAGATGTACCGGGCTTTTAAAATGCTCTTGAATCTTGGGACAAACCGGCAGAACACTTGATTCTCAAGGCAGATTCTGCCTTGAGAATCAAGTGTTCTGAGCTCAAGCTTGATTCTCAAGCTTGAGAATCAAGCTTGAGAATCAAGCTTGATTCTCAAGCAGCGATTCTCAAGGTCCTGCCAGTTTTGACGAAGCTCCGATTGAACCCGGTAGAGGCCGCACGTGCACACCCGAGAGGCCGCACGTCGCGCGACTTCGTCACGCCCCCTTGGAGCATTTTCGTCGCCCGTTGTTGCTGCGTTAACCTTGGCATATCCCTTATGGTTTTCGGAGACGGTCTGACGTGCACGGTGGAATGAGCCCATTTTTTTACCTTTGGAAATCTGGACTTTAAATATGGCATGGAGAAAACCTAAATAGGCATATTCCTGACGTGGCACGTGCACAGCGCTCAAAGGTTGGCGAGTTTTGCTCAGCAAAAGACAAATATAATGCCATCACAGATCCTGCTATGCGGGAGAGCCTTGCAAAACCTCGTAACGTTTCTTTTGGGCGTTAATATATATAATTTTTTTTTCCCCGCTGTAAATGTTACCTTTTTTGCGGATCTACTCGATATTTTTGGTGATGAGAATATTTTTGCATTTATTATTACAACTATTATATTTATTGTGCATCTTTTACAATGACAGCAGGTCGCGACAAGGGTGTTTCAACGAAATTAAAAAAAAGTCTTCAATTTATTTATCAGCTGTTTTGATTCGGGAACATGCGATATCTCTCTCGCGATATTTCACTCGAGTCGGCGGGGAAACTTGAAGTCTCCGACTTCAAGTCGCCGTGGTTATTTTGCAATGCCTTTTGCAATGCCTTTTTGCAGTGCCTTTTTGCAATTTCTGCAGTGCCGAATGTTCAATCGATACGGAATATCCGAGGCTTCGCGGGCGCCCGACGAGACTGACGGTCGGGCCGAAGGGCAAGCGTGACTCGAACGCTTTTCAAGGTCATTAGCTTCCTCCGAGGATGAACGATCATTGATGTTCCTCTGAGGATGAACAATCGCTATGGAAGGCCAGACATACTTGATGAGGCGTCGCATGCTGTCAGTCGATGTATGCGCTGAATAAATAGTCGTGCTCGCTGACTCCGTTTTGCTCAAGCAAAACAAACACATTTGACGTTTCTCGGAATTTTCCTGCTTCCTGACCTTTTCGAAATTTTCTCTGTTCCATCATAATTCGACTTTTATTTTTGCTAATTCCCATTCCATTCTCAATATTTGATGGCACTGACATTTTGCCGTTCGACAAAAAATAATGCGACATCTTGCCCGAGCACTCCACGGAGAGATTTCAGTTCTACTCTGGCAATAGCAGCCGAGGAAATATTATTTTAATATTTTGTAAATTGTCGAACAAAAATTACTCTAGGACTCCTGAAAAAGCGCTGATTTCGCGGTCTCGTTCAAAGACACGTTACTATGCGTGTTGGCAATAACATCATGCCCCCAGTTGAATTTCAAATTCCCACACGACCCAATCCGATCAAATTCTCCCCACCGAGAGCCCAAATAGGGGCGTATACATCGACCCCCCGGAACGAAATCGTGGGACTCACGTTGGACGAGGGCAAGCACGAGCGGAAGGAAGAAGTCTAGGACGCGACGAAGCGGCCACATGAGGTCATGGTGCATGCACGAGATTCATGGAATGAGCTCCACAGATCCCCCGCCGCCCCCTTCTGTTTATTACCATTCCCTTTCCGCTCCCCTCCTTTTCTATCGGCACGGGGGCCCCGTCGCCATGTGAGCAGTCTCAGGTGGCGGGGGCGCCTGCGCCCTTCTTTTCTTCACCTTGGGGGAGCCGGCTCGGGGACGCTGATGGACTGGATTTCTCTCTCATTCCGGCCGGCCGGAGAAGGTGGGCAAGCTTCGATCTTGACAGCGTTCAGATGACGCGAGATGAATCGTTTTTTAATTTTCGTAATTTATAAATTAATAAATCGTTAATGACAACGAATGTCCTAGACATCTTCCCCCTCTCACCCCCCGCCCCTCCCCCCCAGATATCGATCATGAGGGCTAGACAAAATTAAGCACATGGCATGGAATTAGTTGCTTATATAAAACCATACTTCTTGGAGCATGGATAATCGGGAATTTCTCCTGGAAATACGTGAGAAGCTCATTAACAACTTTATACGTGGGAATGCAAACAGATTGCGACGGATGAGTGTCTTCCCATCAACCCCCGACGAGGTGGCACACACAAAAGACGACAGCCGAAAGTCTTCATGGGGGGAAGCGGCTAATCCCATTTCGCGTATTTCAACTCCGTCGGATCCATAGAAAACGTTTCCAAACCTGTTCATTCAACTCGTTCGGGTTTAGTTTAATGTTTGAGGAAGAGATTCGACACATTCCGAGAAATCCTTGGAAATGTTTCATCCGGTTGCTGTGTTAATTATTTTTCTGAATTATTTAATTAGTTTTACTGTCCCCCCCTCCAAAAAATAACACTCTTCTGCTTTAAATTTCAGATTTAACGTGGAAATTTTTACCTGACTTCTACCTCTGTAATTTTTTTATTATCCTGCTCTCCCGTTTACCAGCGTTCCACCTATTTTGGGCCTCGGTTTTGCCGCTTTTCCGCCGCCCCTATCACGAGTCAGCGTTGAATCTTTAAATCGTTGCATCGTTTTCCTTTTATCCCACGCTTCTTTGGCCCGCCCCCCTGCCCCCCTCCCTGCCCCCCTCCATGCCCCCCCTCGCCAGAATATTCATGCGACTGCGAATATCGAGGGGATTTACGCTCACTCCCCGGTATCTCAGGCTTCAAAGCCTCAGAAATTTTGCTTTAAAAAAAAAATCATTCTGATGACGCCATGGAACAAGTTTCTTTCCTGCCGTCGAGATCCATTTTCCAAATGAGATCTGATATATTCGGGGGAAAAAAAGCACTCTTAATTTCAGCTTCCATCAAAGAAATTTATGAGTTCACGACCTGTTGAGAACAACCTTCTTTTACACTTATATTTGCATGAACCCCTTATCATAATGAGACATTGGTACCCGATATAACACGTTTGTATAATACTGGAACAGCTCACGATTTATATCAAATAAGTTATCAAATGTCATCACAGGGGAAAAACCCCATCTACCCCACCTCGCGAACTTCTGCAAGTCAAATTCGTGCGACAACGACAGAGACGGAAACTTTCGGGGCTGCAGATGCCATGAGACCCCCGATTCGTGTACAGCACATTTAAATGAGCGTTTTTGTTATTTTTTTGGGAAGTAAATATTTTTTTTTTCAAACGTTGTAAATTGAAATCTCGCACCACTCTCCACGCTACAAAAAACTATCAATACACAGCAAGACTGGGAACGAACCCCGCCCCCCCCCCCGGTCCGAGGTTACTTGATGCCACCTCACCCCCTGCTCCGACTTCCCGTCTCCCTCTTCGACTTGGCTTCCCGAATTCCGTCATCGCTTTGCATGTTCGGGCGCGAGGGGTGAAGCGACTCGGAATCTTGCGACCTTGAATGATTGGGGACGCTTGTACCGAAGAGCTGAAATATTTTGCATTTATATGGCCTCAATTCTCGGAATACATGTTATTGAGTTCAACAAAATGATCGAGTTCGAGGAACCCAACATCCCATCGTAGCCCCCCCCCCATCCCCCCAAAGAATGAAAGGGGAACGCGAGACTGAGGAATAAGGCAGAGAAGTTTCCTGCTGGCTGTCTTGCCCGCCGGACCCCGGAAGTATCCCATCCGTCTGCATTGCAGGCTGGGCGTCAAGGTGGCTTAACGGGCGGAATGTTGAGAGTCTTCTTCCGATAGGCAAGTACGCGATAAGTTCTAAGCGTTTTTGAACGACATTGATGACGAATACGAACCAATTAAATCTGCAACAATCGACCGCATGGGTTGGGATGGGGCGAGACAGACAAAATATTCCTGACATGGATTTCGTGCGAAATTCGCGGGCTTTGGGCGTTCGCCGCTTGCGGAGTTGCTCAATTTCCCCCCCAAATTTTTTTTTAACGAATTCTCCTCAGCAGAACGATAAATAGTATTAATATTCTATGTTTATATGTTAATGTTGAGCATGATTGCCATCCTTGCATAATTTATTCTCGATATTTGGCTCCCATCTCATTTCCTCACAGACAGCTTCATGATCACGATTTGTGGACGTTCGTGACGTCCGGAAATTCGTTCCCGTTCGATATGTGTCGCCTTGAAATTTCAATTTTGATGGATTAATCGCAGTATTAGCTTTCTATTCTCTAAAATCTCGGGGATTCCTTCAAAAAAAAAATCAATAACGAGTTCCTTTTTCCCTTCAAGTCCTGAAAACTGCTCAATCGCGATATCTTTACTCCTGGATTCAGGCGTTCTCACCACGGAATGTGGCCGACCAATGTCGCCTTTCGGACGACATTGCCAGAACTAAATCTGCTTCGCATTCAGTTTATTGCGAAACCACCCCCCCCCCCCCCCTTCTTGTCACTCGACTCCCCCACATCTAAACAATTTTTATGTGAAACCCATGCTGCAATATAGCCAACGTCAGCGGGTTAAAAAGGGAACAGACTGACATTTGGCGACATCTATTTTGCTTTCAGTGAACCTCGATCTTCCATCTTATCGATCGAGATGACGACCTCAGCAAGATATCGACACTGTTCCTCAGCCACCTGTCCATGTGCAAGTACTGGTCCCTCTTAAGTGCTTTGGCGGTACGCGAGACGATCGGCAAGTAAATGTTGAAAAACAGAAAGTTGCGTTTTGAAAGCAAATTGGATGGCTGAGATCGTCTCTCTCAATGTCGATGCATCACGACCTTCATGACCTACTTGTGGTTCAAATGTTCTTCATGAGAGTCTTAATGCGATACAGAGTCAACTTTTACTGAGAAGTGCAGAGGGTGATGTTGAAGTTAGGTGATGTTTTATTTAAAAAGAAATTAATAGTTTTCCAAAAATGTTTCAAATTCCAAATTTTGTACTCGACGAGACCAACCAGAAGGCACATTTATTTGAAGGGTTATTTTAGGTAAAACTTCAATAAATTTAGAAGATTGTGTCGTGTTCGCACAGAAGCGAGGCGGACGAGTTTACCCGAGACCGTGGCCAGCTCCGGAGCATCTCTCACTGCGATGCCCGGCTCCTCGCTCTTCCAAAACTCGGCCGCGACGTCTACAGTGCATTTGAAGCTGAGGATGTGACAGGCTTTTATAGGCGGGGAAGTTGAGGAGCAGGACCGGCGTTTCCAGGCAGGAGTCCTCCGTCTTCTTGTAGTGCTCGACCAAGTCTGTCATATGCGCCTGCAAGAAGGATTGGCTTCATAGGAGAGGGAGGTCACTGCCATATTGCTATGGGTCCAACGTTACTTGTCCTCTCTGAAATGGTTTGTGAATGTATGAATGCGGAGTCCAAGTGGATTCTGCACAGCTGTGCGCTGATTGGCTGCGGACGGGGTGCCGTCGAGTTTGGGAAATAATGCCACGTGCTCCCGTAGTCAGCAATGGGCCGCGAGGGTTGCCTCGTTTCTTCCCCCTTTATTTCGAAAACGTTTCGGTTTACGAAAAATTCGGCCTGAACGAGATTTGTAGTACAGAGTCTGCCCTAGCCACTGGTATAATTTCGCTTGTTTTTTTTTAATACCATATTTAAGTGAGATAAGCACACGCAAAGGATTATGCCTCTATCATGCATCTCCCTTTCCTTCAGACGCCGTCCTTCTCCCCCCCACATTTCGACAATGACACGCTTGACGAAAAGTCACATTCTGACAAGATTTGTTGTGTAGATTCCACCCCAACCGATGGTATAAATTTTGAAACTGTGCGCCTTCATTTTAATCTAATACTCCCCCAAAAAGGACCATCCTCGATCTCACCTCTCCCGGGAAGTCAGACAACGTTCCGTCTCTCTCAAAAACCTCCCCAGTGGCTCGTCTCATGAAACATTCTTTTCAGACAAGATTTGGAGCTCAGAGTCTATTCTGGTCTGCGGTATACGTTCCAGAGCAGCACTTTCATATTCACGAGAGGAAATATCCATATAATGATAGCCGAGGTACTCCTGTCCGCCAGAGGCCTGCACGGGTCGACTTTCCCGGACCCGACCCTACCCGACCCGATTAGGCTGATCCGAGTCGTGGTCCTACCCGACTACTCGACCCGAAATTCCGACCGAGATTTTAGTGGATCCTACCCGCGGGTCTGGTCGGGGCGATCGGGCCGACCCGCAGCCCGCTTAGGCCTCTAAACTTCGGAACTCCGGGTCCCTGGGTTTGCTTTTTTCTGAGCGGCTCTACCGGCTCTGCTGAGGCTTCCACCCGACGTCCCATGACGTCACATTGGTGTTGGCCTGTTCGTTGCTCTCACAGTTCACTACGTTCCACTGGTGGTTTCTTCCCCGAGAGTGACGTCATTTAATGACGTGATCGCATCGAGCGCTGACGGAACGAGGCGTCCTTTTTGCCAGTAGCTGTAAACGGCTCGAGAAAAAGACTCCTCTGAGTGTATTCTAGCGTATTCGCCTGCACCCAACATGAAAGTTGATTGCCAACCGATCCGCCGGTCGGGTCTGCCTGATAGAACTGATCCCCATTCCCCGCGGAGCTCGAAATCATCCCCCGAATGAGACGAGCCTCACTCCGTCGG